CACCTTCACAATTGATTGATAAACCTCCTGCTGTTCAGACCTCTTCTGCTTGCCGGGATTACGTGTCTCGGAAGCGTGCGTTACGTGCTTAATGGTACTACGTTTTACTGGCGACGAAAATGACGAACCCAATGTTGAATACACCTCCTATATTTTGGTCATCTGCTGAAGAAAACGACCTTATCGAACTGGATAAGATGGAGGAAATCATTTACTAACTACGTAGAATTACTTCCTGTACTGAATCCGACCGTTTGTCTTTCTGAGGCTCACAAAACCACACTATTCAGGCAAGTGCTTGGCGATGAAAGTCAACGGCACTACGATGCCCTACAACTGGAAAACTATACCACCCTCAGTTCTGCTTTGGATACTTATACCACTTTATGGGGGCTGAATAAATGTTTACACCGCTAGATACTGCTTTTCAAAACTTGTCCAAAAGCCGAACGAAAGCGTCAATGATTTTATTGCACATAATCATCCATCTTTTCCTGAGTGTAAGTATAATGATATTCCACCAGGAAAAATTGATGTGCAAATGAAAATTTAATGTTTGATTGCGGGAATATCGGACGAAAGTGCTAGAGAAAAGTTGTTATCCTTGGATGACTTCGCCGCCACGTGGGAAAACGTTTGTCTCATCGCTCGCCAGCGAGAGAACATTACACACCAATTCCGCGAGTGCACTGGTCGTCCGGTAGTTGATGATGTGCATGCGGTCCGCAAATCAGACACCGGTGAACATCAAAAACAATTTGTGTGTTATAGTGGCGGTTTGCGGCATTCTCACGCTTCCGATTGCCGGCCCAAAGAAAGTATCTGTCGGAAATGCGGCGAGATAGGCCATCTAGCACGCGTCTGTAGATCGGAGTTCCCGCCCCACGAACATCACCTTCTCAAATCATCAAAGCAAGATAGAGCTACGGGAAGATAACGTCCTAGAAAATTTGAACAGAGTTTAACTCCTTGTACTTGAACAGTGTGATACTCAAAAACTGTCCTTCTTACACAATACGTTTGACGCTAGAGGATGAACCGATAGACAAGGAGCTAGATACTGGGGCGGCGGTCACCATTGTAAACCGCGGTTCAATGAAAAATCTACCACCTTTGCAACCATGCAACTCGAGATTACAAACGTACACAGGTGATCCAATTCAGGTATTGGGCATATGTTTCGTTAAACCCAGGCACGGGGAGCGAGAATTCACCCTACCCTTAATCGTTCTACCTGGGAACAAACCGAATCTCATGAGTCGAGACTGGATACAGTTCTTTCCCGAGACCATGCAACTCAACCAACTCACTGTTGGAGACGGCAGTTTGAATGGATTATTGAACGAGTTCTCATCGTCGTTTGGAACCAAATTGAGAAAAAGGCGTCATTTCAAGGCTTCTATCAAACTCCGAGAGGGTGCCGAACCAAAATTTTACAAAGCTAGATCATTACCTTATGCAATGCACCCTAAAGTTGAGGCGGAGATACAACCTCTGCAATCAGAAGGAGTGGTAATCCCAGTGCAACATTCAGATTTGGGCACTCCGATTGTACCTGTACTCAAACCTGACGGCTCCGTCCGGATTCGCGGAGACTACAGATTAACAGTCAACTGAGCGTCGAAAGTGGAAAAATATCCCCTACCACGTATTGAAGACTTGTACGCGATTTTAGCCGGCGGCCAAAAGTTTTCCAAGCTAGATCTCAGTCACGCATACTCTCAGATCGAACTTGATGATGAGTCACAGGAACTGACCACAATAACTAACCACCTGGGACTATTCCAGTACACGCGCCTCCCGTTTGGAATAAATTCAGCACCCAGCATTTTTCAACGGATCGTGGATAATATAGTTAAAGATATACCGCTCACATGTGCATACTTGGACGATATCCTTGTTACTGGTCGCAGTGACGCTGATCACCTAAACACATTGCGAACTGTCCTCGAGCGTCTGGAAGAGTGTGGGTTGAAATTAAAAAAAATCCAAATGTGAGTTCTTATCCGATTCTTTTTGTTACCTTGGTTACAAACTGGACAAAACCGGTTTGCATGTCCTGCAAGATAAAATAGCGCCTATTGTGCAGGCACCTCAGCCCAAGTATAGTGATGAATACGATCATTCCTAGGAATGTTGTCCCACTATCTTTCTTTCCTACCAGATGCCTCAACCATTCTTGCTCCAACTGAACGAACTGCTACACAAAAACATACCGTGGATGTGGAAAAGTGAGCATCAATCTGCTTTTACTTGTGTAAAGAAGTGTCTTGCTTCCGCACCTATTTTGGTCCATTACGATAGTGAAAAACCGTTAATCTTACAATGTGACGCCTCTCCATAGGGAGTCGGAGCAGTTCTACGCCACAAAATGTTGAATGGTGTTATTAACCTGAATGCATTTGCTTCACGAATTTTGCAACCCACCGAAAAGAAGTACTCCCAGCTGGATAATGAAGTCCTGTCAGTTATATTTGGCGTCAAGAGGTTTCATCAGTATATTTGGGGAAACTATTTCGAAATACAAACCGATCACAAACCACTAATATCCTTGTTGAAGGTGTCAACGGGAATCGAGCAGATGTTTTCACCGAGAATGCAACGCTGGGCATTAATATTAAGTGCATATAAATATCGAATCTCGTATATCCCTGGGTTGAACAATCATACAGCAGATGCATTAAGTAGGTTACCACATGCGACCCCAGACGAAATACTGGAGGAACCAGTAGAGCTTGTAAATCAAATGTAACACCTCGACACCACTCCATTGACAAGTGACACCATACGTCGGTGGACCGATCGTGACCCAACGCTATCTTCTATAGTGCGATTTACAAATCCGGCTGGCCCACTACATTTCCCCTCGATCTTAAACCTTACGAACAACGGAAAAATTAATTCAGCCTTCACGATGGATGCTTGATTTGGGGATCCCGCCTGATTACACCGCTAAAGGCACGGCCGTTCATCCTAAACGCACTGCACAACGCACATCCAGGCGTAGCCCGAATGAAAGCCTTGGCGCACGGTTATTGCTGGTGGCCTGGCCTAGATACAGAGACAGAGAACTATCTAAGAACATGTGGTTTGTGTCAGCAGTATCAGTCAAATTAACCTCCCGGTCCGGTACACCATTAGCGTTGGCCTGGAAAGCCACGGCAGCGCATCCATGTGGACCCATTAATGGTGTATTTTTCCTGCTGCTAGTTGACGCTAATTCAAAATGGATAGATGTTTATCCCGTTTCCCACCCTACTACGGAGACGACTATCTTCAAAATGCGGTCGTCATTTGCAATATTTGTGATACCAGAGACACTGTACAGACAATGGGCCATGTTTCACTAGCAAAGAATTTGAAATCTTCATGAATAAGAATGGAGTCCACCACGTCCGTACAGCTCCATATCACCCTGCTTCTAATGGGCTAGCGGAAAGGGCGGTGCAGACAATTAAAAGAGGTCTCTCAAAACAAGCACCAGGAACTGTTCAGACGAGGTTAGATCGTTTGCTGTTTGCTTACAGGATAACGCCAACGGAAGTAACTGGTAAATCACCTGCGGAAATGAAGTTTGGCCGAACACTCCGTACTAGACTGGATCTTCTGTTTCCAAATCATAGAGCACAAATGGAGATGAAACAAGACAAGGCTGCCGCATCGCAAGATGACCACGACTCTAGTTGGCAGCCGGGTGATCCCGTATACACACGACTTCCCCATGAGCGCTGCTGGCAACCCGCAACTGTAATTAAAGGTGACTGTACCCAAGCAGATCTCGAATTAAATGGTCGAACAGTACGGCGACACTCGGACTACATACGCTCACGTTTTGTTGGGACAACAGCAGATGAACGTCTGAGTGAATCAGCATCGGTTCAGCCGGAAACGGAAGCAACCCCCCAGGATTCTGTACACTCGTCAGATGCACCATCGCTTCGTAGATCTCAGCGTACGCATAAACCCGTTGACCGTTTCGTGCCAGGAGTATAAATATCTCAAGAGATGAGGGGATGTCACGTACGCGAATGACTTCGATCAGTTTACTTCAGCTGTGCGCGGATTGGTTACAACTCACACCAACCAGCCAATCATCTGACACGCACCCCTGGTCTCGCGGCGTGAGTTTCCTTGAATCTTGTACCTTCACAATTGATTGATAAACCTCTTCTGCTTGCCGGGATTACGTGTCTCGGAAGCGTGCGTTACATGCTTAGTGGCACTACGTTTTAGTTTGTTATCACCTCTGTGCCTAGCATGTGAGGTGATGTAATTGTACAGTGGAATACTTGTGTTATGGTCTTGCAGTTCGGCCTTGAATATTTCGCTCAGCATGCGGCGGTGTCCACGTCGTGCACGTTGAAGTCGCCGGAGATGAAAACATGGTTGTAAGTTATGAGCAAGCTTTTCTTTAGTGCTGATATTAAGTGGGAATCCGTCTCCGGATTGGACGATTTCAAACGATAAAGGAGTACCACGAAGCACTAGTCATTGTGTCTGAGACGCAAATGGAAACCATAGCGAAATGGTGGGCCGCGTCTCTGGATCATCCAATGCTTCGTATTGTAAGGCGTGGCGATAGTATAACACCACCTCCCTGCTGGATGATAGTGTTGGACCAATACCATCTCGTCATCCCTAATCTCTGAGTGCAACCAAGTCTCGGTTTCGGAGATGAGATCCCAAGCATATTTTCCTTACTCAACCGAAGCTCGGCGATTTCACTGAGGATCCCTTGAGCATTGGTGTACATGCGGGAAAATGTTTCGGGTCTCAGCTGCTATCCGAAAGACATGTGGCTGGGGTGAGAGTTTATGCCGACCATTGTGTGGTCGGCCGCATTCCTCTTTTTGGTGGTATTATTCGCGAGTCGCTTAGAGTTGGGTTCGGTGACATCGTAATTAGCCCCTCTAACAACTCAGTTTGCACAGTGTGTCGTATGGTTGGCGGCATCCGGGTTCGGATTTGTCTGTCACTGTGGCCAGCCACAGGACGCCTGCGCCTACAGAGCGACCATGGGTGGCTTGCGCTGCACCACCTACAGCTCCATCCACACATACCATATCCAGTGTAAACCCGAAGGAATAAGGCCCGGAGACTTGTAGATGGGAGCCACGTTTCCTCAACGGAGTCGGTCCACACTCCTTCACAGGCAAACACAAGCACGCTATATTTGGGAATCAAGCGCACACAAGGCGGTGACTGGACCGTGGTCCGTTCCACATTGAGTGCATGGAACCGCTCTACGAGCCTAGCACGGCCATAATGATCATGCAATCCGTCCCATCCAGCAGCGACCAACTGTCTCCTGGAGCCAGTATGAACGAGGTAGTGGGTAATAGACAGGTAGGCACTTTGTCAACATGCACATCCGGGGTTATCAAGCAACAGCCAATCACTTGAAACGACGAGTTCAAATAAAATGAATCGACTAATGCATACAGATACCGTGGCATAACTCTTCAGTGAACGAGCGTATAAAAAATGATCACGAACAATCCGCGATAACTTCAAGCGGTCAGAAAACAGATTTTAAGAAAATGCCACAAAACCAAATCTATGCATTCAGAAGCAGCATGTGCAAGCATTACAACTACCCTGGCCAGCCAGTAATAAAGATGGATCGAACTTCACTCAGTGGTGTCACATGCCTTCAGTCACTTGACCACATGACACTTTAGGTTAACCATTTAAAAATTTTTGTTTAATCAATAGGTACTCTCTGTTTCCCGAATGAACTCCTCTTCTCAATGTACATTTCCGTACCAAGCCTGATGATGAATAAACTGAAAACAATTGTTCGCTGTAAGCCTACCGCTTGCGTTTCTTCTTCCAATATGTAAACACGAAAATGATATCGATATTAACTACAATTAGCTTCAGCAACGTGTGCAAGTTTACAGAAGATAGTACAAGTAGACAATAATATAAGCAAGAAAATCATTAGGACAAAATCGAAAACCCACCACCTGAAATAAAGCGAATTAGCGTGCTGTCGCACGGTTAGGAAATCGAATTCAGCGTACCTACAAACGCCGCGCCGGTTCTGCCTACGTTCTCTGCATGACCCGTCCTCGCTTAGGTGGTGGTCCCGAGTGGTCTCGCTCATGGCTCACTAGGCCTGCCTGACCCAAGCACTCGCGACCACAGGTGATACAGCACTATGCGTTCGATGTCGATGGAGTACAACCCATCGGTGCTTGTCGCTTCCACACTTGCCGCTTCTTCTCTGCATGCATGAGGTCTTTCTCCCGCACTTCGCCAACTGCCTTCGTGATCAGATCGCGCCATGCATGCCGATAAACCACCTTCGATTCCCATGACCTGCAACCAAGATTAGAACGTGAAAGGCTCACTTTAATCATGTCTTGGTAAGGTAACTTTGGTTTCCCCACATGACGCTTCCCCACACTCAGTTGACCATATAATAGTTGTTTCGGTATCCGCGTCGAATCCATACGGCTCACATGACCGAGCCACCTCATGTGTCTCAGCAAAAGTTCGCAGTCCACTGCATACATTCCACTTCGATGCAACACTTCCGTGTCCGCAACTCTGTCGCCGCATCAGATGCGCATAATTAGCCGCAAACCCTGTTGATGGAACCGCTCGGGATATCGCACATCTCGCCGGTAAATAGCCCAGTTTCACTGCCGTATGGAAGAACGGACAGCAACATGGATTTGTACATCATCAGCTTCGAGCCAATATTAAGCTAATGGTACTCAAGCTTCCCGAATGCCGCCGCTGCCTTCGAAACGCGGATACGCAGCCCACTGTGTAGCTGCTGATCAGTCGACATCACACTCCCAAGGTAGCAGAAGCGGGAGGTGATTTCCAATACTTCAGCACCAATGCTGATTCGAGACACCATTGTAGACTGCACCTTCGGTGAAGGCTGAAAGAGACAGACAGTTTTGCTCAGGTTAATAGGTAGCCCGAATTTATCGCTGTCGAAGCCAGAATACTAGTCATGTGTTGCAACTCATCCGCGCTGTGTGCAAACAACGCACAGACCTCAGCAAACAGCAACATAGTTGTCTCATAGCCTAGGGTTTTCTCAGCGAAACGACGGATGTTCAGCAACACACCATCAATACGGTGCTCCAACGAACACCGTAAGCACAAGTTGCATCAAAAGCACAAGACATCATGGAATGAAGATATATATTAAACAGGGCAGGAGCTAAGACACAGCCTTGCTTCACACCAGAGACAACTGCAAAGTCATCCGGGGTCTGGCCACTCAGCTGAATCCACGCCCGTATACCACTCTGCAGACATTCAAGTAAGCTTACATACTAACTCGGACAACAAAACTTACCCAACACCAGCCACAATGTCTCGCGGTTCACCGTATCAAATGCCTTGGTGAACTCAACAAATAGCGAGTACAACGGCTGGTGTGGTTCTCTGCACTTCTCCTGCAACTGACGATCCACAAACACCCTATTTTTAGTGCTGCGACCCGGACGGAATCCACATTGCTCTTTCGCCACGTTAGGTTCCACAACCTGACTGACGAGGCGCTTGAGCAGGATTGGTGCAATCACCTTGCCCATACAACTCAGCAAGTTGATGCTACGATAATTCGTGCAACATTGCTTGCTCCCTTTGCCCTTGTACAATGGTAGCACAAGGGCATGCTTCAGTTCAGGAGGCACCTCCTCCTCAGTCCATACGCGTTGCATCAAGTGGTGTAGCACAGTCACCAACGCAGGTCCGCCCTGCGGGATCCCATCGGCACCGGCACACTTGATGTTTCGCAGCTGAACAAGTGCTGTCTGCATCTCATCCAGTGTCGGCGTGTCCACCAGACTCGCCTACACATCGTACTGTTTAAGGCCGTTCATAGTAGGCCAGTCGATCTCTGAAGGGTTGTTCGAGAGACAGTCAACGTGTTTCCGCCAGATCTGCATTACGTCTACAGTCTGTGTACAGATAGCGCCTGAACCACCATCGATCAGCGTCCTAAGCGGCTAAAATCTCGGTCCATACATCGCCTTCAAAGAGTCAAAGAACTCCTTGTGTTGGAAGCGTTCGGAGTAGCATTCCATCTGCTTCGCCTTCTCCGTCCACCATGCATTTTTATGCGACGGAGCTGTCGAGTCAGTCGTCGTCGAATTCTGCGAAACTGACTCTTCTTCCCCAAGTCACTGGGGTCTGCCACATGTGCAGCAAATGCCGCATGCTTCCCCGACACCAATGCGCCAATCGTCGCATTGTTCTCATCAAACCAATCAGGCTGATTCCAGTTTACGTGCCTGATGGTCTCCTCGGCAGCAGCTGACATCTGGTCGCGAATGTGATGCCACAGACCACCCACTGTTGCTACACATTCCACATCACACAGGCGTGCAGACATCACCTTCTCCAGCTCAGTACGTTTCGCCCCTTTACCGAGGATGAGAATGTTAAACGTACGCCGATTCACGGCGGAAATGCAATACATAGATTTGCGAAAATTTATGTACGGTTTGGTCCGCACCAATTTGTGATCAGTGTTACACTCAGCTGACCGCAGTACACGTGTCATGTGCACTTCACACATGTCACGCTGACATATGATGACATAGTCGAGCAGGTGAGCGTGACCACTCCGTGGGTGGGTCCAAGTTGTTATATCACTCGCACACAGTGCAAACCGAGTGCTGGTGATCGTCAGGCCGTGAGTGGCACACAGTGAGAGCAGCCTGTCACCGTTTCCATTCGCTGAACCAATGCCATGCGGACTGATGACATCTGTCCACACCGATGCATCACGCCCAAGCGCGCGTTGAAATCACCCAGCAGAAATGGTCGGTCGCTCCTCGGCACAGACCGTATCACGGAGGATAGCTGAGTGTAGAATTGATCATAAATGTCATTAGAATAACACATGATCGGACCGTACGTGGTTATAAAAGTGGCACACTGACCTCTTCCGAGTCGTAGGCGAACAGTCATCAGTCGCGCACTGATGTCTGTTGGTTCACCCACGAACTGGCTATGGAGGAGATCGGATGTTGCAAATCAAACCCATGATCACGTGGTGCTGAGGCGGCGTTGCCCGCTCAATAGAATGTGTAGCCAACGCCTGCTTCATGCAACTTACCTTGCTCAGCGAACCGGGTTTCATTGAGCGCCGCAACATCGATGTGGTAGCGCGCCAGTTCCATCGCAACCAGTGCAGTGCGTCGCTCGGGGCGCTCACTCCAGTTCCGGTCTAGTAGTTTGTGCAGGTTCCAGCACCCGATGCTGAGTGCTTTGCGCGCAGGCATTCGATTGCATTAGTGCGCAATCGGACGCGAGGTGGTGGTTGTGCTTCGGAGGTTTGCTTGAGCCTTTGGCTCCATAACTTGACTCACAAGGCAGTAGGTAGTTTGGAGGTTTTCTTGAGGGACTCCGCCCGGAGCCTTTGGCTCAATAGCCTGACCCACAAGGCAGTGGGGAGCAGATCCAGCTCGGGAATGTGATTGCAGAGAGATTGGGTTCTGCTTGACGGCCGTCACACGCTGCTTTTGAGGTACTGGAACGATTCTTATATGTTTTGCGACCGTAGTAGGATATACACCTGCGACCACGGCCAGACGCAGGTGGGTTTTTGGCGGATTTGCACCGACTTGACCAGGGGCTGCCTGGCTTGAGGCGGGCAGTAGCAAACCACTGAACACCCGGAGGTGCCCTCCTACCGTCAGAGACAATGCTTGGCCCTCGTGCTCTACGCCAATCGAGCTGTGAGCTTATAATTTGTAGACCTGTTGTCCCCCATGGCTAGGTTTTACTGCAAGAGGGCCATCGACCACTTCCTAACCTCCGAAGAAGAAGGACTAGAATACTGGCAGGGCGACCACACCTGACAGGAGAACGACTCGCGTCATCAGCCGAAACCTTCGATTAAATGTACCCCCGAGAAGCAGCGGGTCTAGCACATTGTCAGTTCACTGACTCATGTGGATTGGTGTCCCATATATTAGCAGGGAGAAGAGCGTAACCCAACTCCCACCCAGCGGTGGACACGAGGAGGCGTCCAGGACATGAGCCTATGGCACAACAGTAGCAGCAGTGAGTAGGCCATCTGTCAGGATCTAGCCACCACCAGCCTCAGCGCACCGCAGGCTCTCCCGTCGTATACAGAAGTCCAAACCACATGGTTCATCCGCCCCTTGAACTCAGTCATTTATCACATCCAATCGGACAGTGGCACAGACCAACCAATCACGGTAAGTAATGGCCAATGAAGCATATAACCTAAAGCTGATCGTACACTGATTGACAATGACTTATTTTACACTCCCGTCGTATCAATAATGCCGGTCCTATGCACTATCCACCTACTGGGAATAGTCCAGGTTATAAAAACTGGCGACTGAAGCAACGACGGCAAAAATGAGAATATCAGCAAAGAAACTCCGTGTGGTTCTTCGGCAACAACAGTCACAGTTCGAAGACGCTCAGCTCAGTCTACTGGATACGCTGACACGTAATCTGTCTTTAGCTTTCAATGACAAGGCACCACAAGCAGAGTAAACCAATGTGGAGTCAATTGTTACCACAATCCAAGTTTTGCACCATGATCTTTTGTCTGGTGTCACATTAGAGTCCTGATTCAAAGTTATGAGTACATATTATGTGTTGAATTCTGTGGTAAAGATGATTCATGACGATCTCGAACACTGCTGCGGAAGTTGGGGGCCAATGAACACGACCGATTTGTCAAGTACATTTTGCCGAAACACCCACGTGACTTACTATTCGATGACACATTTTAGTACTTGACACAGATTTTTTGTAGAACTGCGTCGCCATGTAGCACACACTATCATTGTTTGAAACTGGTCCAGCACTCAATGGATGACCACCTTACCTACGCAGGTATAGTCGACCGCGAATGAGAACCTTTCAAACTTGCTTCCATGAAGTACTCTCAGTTCAAATGCTTGATGTTCATTTTTGGTCTACAGTCTCAATCAGAAGCGGTCGTGCGCACCCGGCTGCTCACCAAGCTGAAAGAAGACCCGGCATCACAGTACAGAAAATGGCAGAGGAATGTCAGCGCCTCACCAACCTGAAACGTGTTTCTAGTATGGTGGACTAGAGAGTGGTCAACATGGTGCATGTACAACCGGTCAGATCACCTCAGCATGAGTGCATGAAGCGTGCTGGAACTGCTGAGCATGGCATTACGTAACACAGCACTTTGCGCCGACATCGGTGTAAGCATTGTAAACGTTACGGTCATAAAGATGGTTTTTGCAAGCCGCACAACAAGACCAGAAATGAAAACTCGAACTGTCGATTTTCGAAGTCGCCACCAAAAAGACAGCCCAAAGCATTGTTGCTTCTTACTAAGTAAACGCGACATCGCGCAGGCACTATCCTACAG